CCTAAAGGGTATCGCCGACGATGCGTTCAACTCGTTGGTATTCAACAATGTGTCATCTGTTGATGCGATCATTCAAGAATACTGCCGGTCTCAACAAGCTAAAAGCAGCCGCCCATTTTCGGTAGTTAACGACCACCACGCGCTCTGCTGGCTCAACTCTCTGAAAGATCCATCAGGCCGCCTTGGTTGCTGGGCTTCGCGCCTGCAAGAGTTTTCCAATTCGGGGGTCCACAAATCTGGCCGCCTACACCGTGATGCCGATTGCCTTTCACGGTACCCTGTCGACGATCCTGAGGACACTGACGAGCCCACGGAGAACTCTATCTTGTCAGTGTCCGACTTCCTTAATACTGGGGAAGAACGGAAGCGTGATCCAGTGCTGCTTGACATTATCAGCCGTATGGAATCCTCCCCAAATGATGCTTCCGTCCGCTACTTTGTCATTCAAAAGGGTGTGCTATACCGTCGAAATTTTCGACCAGACGGACCCAACCTTCTCATTGTTGTGCCTAAGCATTTGCGCCGCTGTGTTCTCGCCGAACTTCACAACGCTCCCACGGCTGGACACCTTGGCGTATCCCGCACGTATGAGCGCGTCCGGCGCCGTTTCTTCTGGCCAGGCCTTGCTCGCTCGGTACGCCGTTACGTCGCCACGTGTGACCTATGCCAACGGCGTAAAACATCGTCGCTGCTACCCGCTGGCCATCTTCAACCAATCGACATACCCGCGGAACCATTTTACCGTGTTGGATTAGACCTGCATGCTTGGTCCTTTTCCCACATCAACATGGGGAAACAAATGGATAGCCGTTATTACCGACTACGCTACACGCTACGCTATTACGCGAGCTCAACCGACCAGCTGTGCAACCGACGTCGCTGACTTGTTGTTACGGGACGTTATATTGATTCACGGTGCTCCGAGACAGCTTCTCACAGACCATGGCCGTACATTTCTATCCCAAGTCATCGCCGACATTCTGCGTTCTTGTTCCACGCAACACACACTGACAACCGCTGACCACCCTCAAACAAACGGCCTCACGGAACGATTTAACCGCACTTTAACAAATATGCTCGCTATGTACGTGTCGCCCGACCACCGAGACTGGGACCATGCCTTACCCTACGCAACTTTCGCGTATAATTCATCCCGTCACGACACAGCGGGCTTTTCGCCGTTCTACTTATTGTACGGAATAGAGCCGGCTTTACCACTGGACACAGTCATCTCAGCTAACACCTCGTCCACCAGCGAGTATGCCCGCGACGCGATTGCGCGAGCCGATCATGCCCGTCAGCTCGCTCGCGCTCGGCTGATGGCGTCGCAAACCAACCAATACCGTCGGTACGATGCGGAACATAGAGACGTACATTTCGCTCCCGGTACCCTTGTTTTACTCTGGTCCTCTCATCGTCGGCTGGGCCTATCAGAAAAACTTATGTCTCATTACACGGGACCCTACCGTATATTGTGTCAAGTAACACCTGTCACCTACGAGATCAGCCCCATCTATCCATCATCATCTGCTGTGCGGTCCAGTGATATTGTACACGTCTCGCGGATCAAGCCCTACAAGAATGCGTCAGATAACGACGTTTAAAACACCAGGACGGTGCCTCCGCCGCCGGGGGTCATGCTACGTGCCAGTGCATGTAGTTGAAGAAGACAAAGCAGATAGACTGGCGCGAGCTAATTTCCGTGGCTGGCGCTGCTCGCTTAACCGGCTGTAAATACATCGGTGACTACCCCTCCGAGTCGGTCTCCTTCTCGTAACAATATTAATGGTTCGTGAAGTAGCCAGAATTGACATTGCAGCCCGACGTCATGACGTTGCCGATGTCAGTCGACGTGCCATGCGACAGTCGACTTTAATATCAAATGAGAATATCTTGCATGTACTAAAGGCTTCACACTTGCCCACAGCTGTCTCTGTGAACAGGGGATTTGTAACTGGCACAGTAAGCCCAGCTTCGAAAATTGATGTCGCTATCCTTCAAACCAGCCCTGCCGAGATATCGCCTCTAGAACGATCCGAACCGGTCACCGAGTGGGTCGGACGAATGCGACAAAAAAAAAAAAAAAGGAAGAGGCGATAGTGTCGAACAAGCACATCGCGTGAGAAAGCAACGATATATTTTTTCTTTTTCTTTTTCGACACTGGCCACACTGAATGCTCAGTGCTTGGCTTATCACGGGTAGGTGAGGGGGGCTCGCTGCGCTGCACTACCCTAAAGCACAAATCTACTTTAATTTTTTGTTTAGGCGCACGAGGCGGCCAAATAAAATTGACTGCACTTGAAATGGTGGATAAATTTATTTTCTTCGGAAGACATCGCATCTCTGTCGGCGTTATTACGATCTGCAATTGCCACAGCACTCACTTAATCGGCAAAGCGCAGCAAAACAATAACATTCCCTCTGCAAGAGCAAGAAAACAGCTGTAACAGAAGCCATACGATTGCAATGAAAGCACAGTGACGCGAGATTGAGAAATTCGTGCTCCCATGCACGGGCAAGCCGGACAATACCAAGCCTCTCGAGGTGACGTGAACTTTCGCTGTGGTCCACCTTCAACGAACTTCCACTATGCAGTGTAGCACCTTTAGTATAAGCCTCAAACCGCAGCCGCTGCGGTTTGCCAGGGCAGAGGGGAGAACAGAATGTATCTAACAGCAGAAATTCACGGTGGCAGCTGCAGATACAACAGCTGCCTCCTGTTTGAAAAAAGGGTTTCCGTGCTTCGACTGTCGTGTCATCTACGGGAGGGCTCCTAGGCTCATTGAAAACCATGCTTAGAGAGCGAGAGAAATAGAGCTGAGTGCTGCCTTAGTTTCTCAATTAAATATTAATATAAAAATTAGAGATAGATAGATAGATGGAAACGCAACCTTAGTTTTTGTGAGATTCGCCCCCCCCCCCTTCTTTTTTTGTTTGTTTTTCTCGTGTGGCATGCCAGCGGCCATGAATAGGGATTCGAACCTCCAGCGCGAGGTCACGGTGCAACGTGCACGCACCACCTGTTATCTAAAGGCCGCTGTTGCGATATGGGAGCTTTGTTAGTTCGTCACTGCAAGGCTACAGTCATATCGCATCCTAGTGCGGCTTGCAGAAGGGTGCAATGTCTGATGTTGAAAACATACCGCCGCGTGCGTCTTTCGGCGTGTTGGCGGAGTTTATCGCGCTGTAAGTCATCTTGTCATGCCGAGGTGACATAGGCAGCGTAAGGGAGTGGAGAGACGGACTATCGGCTCGCTTTGTGACCTCACCGCATCTTGATAAAGTCGAATAAATGACGTATAGGAGTCTTCCCGCGCTTTGTCGCAATGAAGCAGTTATGCCGAGGGAGGCACAACAAGACGTGCGCTTAATGAAGCTCACTCATCGTAGCCGTTTGAAGGCGCCAATACCCATTCGAAGATTTTTGCGTGCAAGGAATTGACATGTCGCATTCCCCCCCCCCCCCCCCCCCCCCCCGTAACCTCGCCGATGCCTGCCACCAATCTATTGAAAAAAAAAATTGTCGGAGTCTCGCGTCCTAAAACCACAATGTGATTGTGAGACACCATAGCGGAGAGATCCGAACGTTTAGAAGACTTCGGGTTCCGGATTCCCGGAAAACACGGAATTTAAGCACACTGATCTCTATCGTATTGCCTCCATCGCAATGATTCCGCCGCGGCCAGGTAAGCACCCGCAACATTCGGGTCAGTAGTGAAGCACCACGACGACCACCAGCACAGTCACGGCGGGTTCTAAAAAAATACCCTGTAGAAAAAGTATCTAGCATGATTGATACAAAAGCTACCATTATTATTTGTCAGCTTCTGTACAGCATAAAAAGGTACAGGAGGGGGGGGGGGGTTCACTAGTTCCCAGGCCAGTTTGCCATAGGAATACATGGGATAGTGGCCTAAGAACATGACCCCCCCCCTCTTCCCCCGTACATCTCACGTAACATTTCACTTCTCGTCTAAGGTGACGCGATACTCAGTCGAAAACACTGCTTCAACATACTTCAAAAGGTCTATAGCTTTGCGATCATGTACCATGCGATGCCAGTGCACGTGACAGGACCCCAGCTGGTGAAAATTATCTAGAGCTGTACACTATGGCACGCTTCGCAATCAGATGGTGGTCAATTGGTACGCAAGACCCCTCAAGTTATACATTTGATCTGCAACAATTGTTGCGAGTATTGGAAGCAGCTCTAAACGAAATCGATGCTTTCGAAAATTAATAAATATAACGTTTCCGGTTTTATTACAATAAATTCGTTTCTATTCGGCTCCCCAGTTGCTTAACGGAAGCCACTTTCGTGCTCCTCTTGTTTTTTTTTTTTTTCAATGAGAACATTAGTACGGGCCGCCAGATAAACCTCCCTCTTGGGGCACACCACTGATATTGAAATATTTAGAGGCATATATTTAGAGGCATAAGGGCCGAGTGATTCTCTCTTCCAAACATATCCGGTCGAGAACTTACTACCGGTTTTCAAAATATAAATAAAACATCGTCTAAAGAAAGAACGGAAAGCGATTGTTCTGGTTTCAAATTGAGAGTTAAGTTGGTTGATATCGGAGCAAAAGTTTATGATAGGGGTCAATAAACGCCAGGATAATTATTAAAAAAATTGTCAAGTTCACTGAAAATCTGGGAGTAGCTGCGATTGCAGCGACACCTGGCGGAGCAGATCTGAACCACGCGCCTCCGTCTACGTGGCCTCGGGGATCCGCTTCGGCAGTGCCATGAAACACACAAAGGTAACCCTAGGAGTACGCCGGGACACACGAATGCCGACGTACGAGCGCCAATACAAGACTCCTGAAACAAGGATTACGGTCGTCTCCGGAACTTTCGGTCCGAATGCGTGCGATGACAACTCAAGCACTGTCCGAAATGCGCGCTTCAAGTGATCTTCAAGCAATCGTCCCGAAGCAGCGGATACGGAGTAATACATTGAGCAGAGACACTGGATTCAATAGTAAAGCTCACTTACCGATAACAATTTCATCATCGGTCTGGCTGTTCCCGATGCATTCCAGCCTAAAATTTATGAAACTGTTGGCAAGGTTCCGCTGTGCCCTCGAAAGGTCTATATAGGGAAAAAAAGAGAAAATACGGATAGGATAGTAAGGAGCAGCTACGAATATGCAACGACAATGTCTTGCATGCTTACACAAGTTCAGTGAGAAAAAAAAAAAGAGCAATGCTGCATATTCGCAACGCATTCAGAACAACGCACAGCCAGTAAAGGACTCACATTACCTGCAATGCATTTCGAACAGCTGCATTGCCATTTTCTCTTTAAGGTGTAGTCTACACACATGTCACATGGATATCACGTAACATGTGTAGACGCATCGATCGAAGTAAGCTTATCAACAACAAATTCTGCAAGACAACCAGGCTACATCGATCCATCGTGAATGCGCTGATAGCCTTTTACAAGTTTTCTTCTGCTCTTCATGTGGATGAAAATGTTCAGCTTTCTGGGACAGTGAGTTAAGCATAGCCAATCGCGGAATTTTCTTTAATAAAAGATATGCCACCAACAAACAGGATATTTTGAAACAGTCAATCTTCATCTTTCCGTTATGTTATAACCGTTTATTTCTGAACCGCTTGGCCTTAAATGCGAAAAAAAAAAGTTTTTGGCTGCTGGAAAGTACAAAAAAAAATTGCAGACAGGGACAGTTTCTTGAAAAGCAAATTAGAGATATTATAAAATGCCGGCAAAGTGCGAAAATAATGCGTGCATTACAGCAAATTTAGAACGTTTTACAACGAAATACTCGAGCTGTGTGCATTGCATGACGCAATTTATAGATTTGAGGTTTTATGAAGCAGCGGTCACACAGAACGCCAAGGTATATGTCATTAGGTTAGAGTGCGTGGCCGAGGCAAACATTTCAATAACCCTGCTTTACTTAATTTGAGACTAACATTACTAATGCTGTTGAAAATGTTTCAACATTGTAGCGGGTAGTCAAGTAAGAAATTACCCTCACACGAATTAGGAAAATTCAAGGCCATGACTTGAGACAATTTTATGAATAAGAGAGAGAAAAAAGTCGCGTGTATTCTTATCTCATCTGCCGTTTTGTATTTTTTTTTTCTGCGTGAGTACTTCAGCAACATTTACTTCGCAAGTGGCAAAGTCGCTAAAAGTTGCGTAACCAGCTCTGATGCTGTTAATTGCCTCACAGGCAGTGCGGAAGACTTAACTAAAATCGCGTTTCCAACAAGTCCAAATTATTTCCCAAATCACGAATGATGCTCTCGCAATGTCTTTGTGCCTGAAAGACGCACGTGCCCCTGATAGGAGCGCAGTAGAGCAGAATAAACGGAATCTCTGATACGCACTCGTATCCGCTTTTCCCGATTTTAAGTGTGTTTGCTTTCCTATGGAGCAATCAATGCTATTATTCCCCTGCCTACAATGTGCGATGCGACAAACGTGCCAGTGTGTAACCGGGAATCTAAACTGTGTTCTTTACTAGAGACGAAATGCCAGACACTCGTGCAACCACCCTGATACAAGGAATTCGCTTACTACATTACTTAATTTACTTCTCATGTCCCATTTATTTATATCTATGATTTTATATAAAAATACGCCGCTACAAAGACACATTTATTCGCAAGAAAACGACGGACGCACTGTTGCTTCGCGCATGCCTCGAAAAACGTTACTTCCGTACGCGGACGGAACTTGAGATAACCGAAGGAATTGAAAAGCGAGTCATATCACTCACTCACCGAGTAATCGAATTCACACGGCCGCTGCGATAAAACGTGCCCATCTTCCACGCCGGCGCAATTTTTTTTTCGAAACGCGCGGCAAATGCTACATAATTACGCCGCACCTGTGCTGTCCGAAAATGAGGGCCCTGCCGTTCCAAATCAGTCGCAGCCCCCGGCTTTCGCTAATGGGAACAAACTCCCGCGCTCACGCTTGCTTTTTATCCCCGGCTAGCTCATACGCGCGCACCATGGCTTCTAGCATCGCTCGTTCAAACAACTTGCCGGGCGAACACGCCATAAATGGAATTTGTTTATTCCGCAGCGGAAAGGCGAACTTGATCGCGGGATGATCCGATCCAAACACGACACACTCATCAAACATGAACCTTTGGCACCCTCAAGGTGCCGATGTGGGTGGGACCCTCGACGCAGCTCTGAGAAGTCGTCCCCCCGGCATCGGTGCAACTAACATTTTCAGTTGACAAGTTCATCCCGGCTTCCCCAAGGATCTCGCGTGCATGCACGAAGCGCAGCTTGATGCGAGCGCATAACGGAAATCGAGACGAGATATTCGGATGAACTTACTTCGAGCAGCGTTCAGCAGATCCTTGACCTCCTTGATGATTCCTTTGATCGCCTGACTCGTCCGGTCCAGCTCATTCTCATGCGCGTGCAGGTTCTCACGAAAATACGGGCTGTCCGTAAGGCAGTCTGTGAACTCGAGCGGTAACAGGCCCATGGTCACGAGCTTAACGCGAACTTAACATAGCACACTTGTGTTTACGGCACCATTCCACACGAACGCAAGTTCGCACTTGCATTGTTGCTAAACGAGCTTCGGTTGTGACCTGCCAAGGCTCGAGGAATGCGGGAGCTGGTTTTAACCCTCGCAGTGTTACGTCACGTGCTGTTATAACATATGTCACTGAAACTTTTTTTGTATGTGTGTAATTGTATAAGAATGTGAAAAAAGCTTGCTTTTGAAAACGCAAAAATTTTAACAAATAAACAACCGAAGTACCATCGCCATCGTTAGCAGTAATGGCGGCGCACTGATCAGCAATCAACAAGTACGGCCGGTGTAGCCGATAAACATTTCACAATTTCATACCACACCGTTATCAGCCGCGCATGTAGTTAGCAATAGTACAAGATACAAAAGCGATAGGTCGGTGATAAGAGAAATAGTCGCAAGCTTGCTTCGAATTGTGTCGCTCAAAAAATTCGAGTTCCTTTGATCTCCGTGCGTAGCCAGCCGCACCTTTCAGAAAACAGGTAGGGTAACGCACCACTGCCTGTTTGTAGTTGAAATCCAGACCATGCCGAAGAAGAAAACTGGTCAGAGGAAGAAGGCGGAGAAGCAAAAGCTTCGCCAGAAAGCCATTCGCGGAAATGCGGCCAGGGTTAACCTTGGTGACCATCCGTGCAACGCCGTCATGGTAAGTTTCGTGTGCGCCGGCAAGCGTGACCTTTCTCATACGTTGAGTCCGGACGAGAAGTAACTGATGTATTATCAATCTGACATTACAGGAGTGTGACAAGTGCTCCAGGTGACCATTTGTTTTCTCGCTTTCTTACGTTTGTGAACCTTTTTACGTGTTCTACGTGGAGCAGTTGTGTAACTAACGCGTTGCTTGTTGACGCAGGAAGCAAAAGAACCGGGCCTTTTGCTACTTTTGTTCCGCTGTTCAACGACTTCCAGTATGCGCAAAGTGTGGTGAGATTGCAATAACTGATCCCGCTTGCATTTTGTAAACAGCGAATCCTGTCAGGCGCGTAGGCAGGAATTCTTGTGGGAGAGGGGGGCGGGGAGTCACTTATGTATGTCCGTGCGTGTGTTCGATGGGTGCGTGCATATATTTGAAAATATCGGAGGATGATGGGTTCAAAACCTACGTCCCCTCCCTACGCTACGCCAATGCATTCTTCCTTGATCGAGAACTGAGTGTTTAGCAAGGAATTCGTCTGTAAAAGCAAAGAGAGAAATGAACGGTGTGCTTCTGTAGAGTTGATGTTAATTCCTTTACGTTCCAGGAAAAATGAAATGCATGATGAAGACTGGCGACTGTGTTGTGAAGCATTCAGGCCAATTCACAACTGGACTCGGCATGGTTGTAAGTAAAAGATCGCCCTCCGAAATATACCTCTCCCTGTTTGTAAACAGTGTGACGTCACTGCGGGCACCCCGCCCCCTACACCCTCTCTCGGAGCAGGTGCTGGTTGGCAAGAAAGTTTCTCCGGCGGCATCTTTATACATAGCAGAGCTGCGTGTCTGCATTCTTTCGACAGAAATTTCTACATTGCTATGTTCTAAAGTCACAGCTTTTGAAAGAAGGGGGTCGCGGAAGGGTCACTGCTCATAGTGTGGGAATTCGCTCGTCGTAGTTGGATGAAGAAACTTTGTTTAGAGTACTGAGAGATGCGACCAGCACGCAGTGGGCTTCACCACGTAGATGGCAGCCATAAAAAAAAAAAAAATCTGATCTTTTTCGAAAGCGAACGTTTTGAATGTACACGATTACTGGCACTTTGAGAAATATTTGCATGGCATAGATGTAAAATTGCTCAATTTCCATCGTGGCATGTGCAATGCAGTTTTAAACGAGGTAAAGCATTAGTGGCAGCATGGTTTTGAGCTGCAGTGCGCAAAGTCACGGATAAGATTCTCATTCATTGCCCAAAAGTCTCATCGGAGATGAATGAAAAAGAAAAAGAACACTTGTTGCCGTGGGTTAGGCTGAGGTTAACATATTCTCGTGAAAATTAAAGTGAAGTTCTGCCACTGCGTTTCTCAAAAACCCAGTGAAAATTCATGTGATGCAAAACCCAACATCTTAATAATATATAATATTATCTGGCACAGTTACCTTGCTGCATTTGACACCTATAACGTGTTTGCGTACCTATCGCTCCTTTAGGCCTGATACACAAACTTCTAACGCGCATTTTCACTTCATAAGGATCGAGCCGTAAAAGTACAAAGTAGATAAGAAACCAAAATCTCCACTGTTTCCATTAACACGTATCAGGTATTGGATATTACAAGTTATAGTTGTGGTGAAGCATATATGTAAATTTGGCAACACTACAACATGCTTATAGCTCATGCGTAGTTGTATATATCACCAGGGTATGCGCTTTTATTTTTCTGCACGCCGCGCATAAGTCGAGATGTACCCACTCACACATGATCACACCGAATGTATTTTTACCTTGACTACAATGTCAGATGGTAAAGTTCTATTGACAATCAGTTACTGAAACCGGCCCGCAACGAATGCCAGTGTTTTCGCCAACAGGACATTTCGCATTATTCACTCTGCACACATACCCAGTTTCACCGTCCGTAAAGATGAACCAATATTGTCGATGCCTTTCAACGCACACTACATGCCATAGTCACAGTCAACACTGCACATTTTAGAAGATGATGCCGCTGTTCCTCCCGCAGGCCGCCACATGTGTTCACTTCTCCGAGATAAATAGCCAGCCAGCGTGGCGAATATTTCATCATGCACTTTATCACACACCTAGATGTTCCCCGACACATGCCACAGCTAATGTTGCCACTGTGAGATGAAGATTAAGCTTTCAAAAAGAAAAAAAAAATGCCCCAAACACCGAGCTACTGCACCCCACTCAGCCACCGGCGGGAATGTTTTGCCAACCACCGCTTTGCACGTGCACCGGTGACGTCACGCTGTGACGTACCCCAATAGAGGTCTATTGGGCCTTCATCGCTGACGTGTTGTGTTCGAAACCTTGCGGCTGATCATTCTAAGTGGACCTTAAGTGTTATAAAATGTTACTGTGTGCTTTCTGTATTTGCCATGGCTCATGCATTAGCTTGTGATTATTGGCAAGTTTCGATTTGGTTCAGGTTAGTTGCAACCTGGTTGGAACAAACAAAACAAGAAGACAGGAATTGCTGCTTTAAACATAAGACATGCACAGCATGCTGTACTTACCTGTTGTGGTGATGCTGTGGCGTGTTTCTGAGCACGAGCCTGCAAGCGATGGCAGCAATTGAAAGGTGGGAGAAATGCCCGTACAACCGAACTGTTCCTACACCTAAAGGCGACCTGCAACACTTTTTGAGCATGATCATGAAATGCAGCCTATCGGTAATAGAGGCTCCTGAGTGCACGCGAGCCAAATAATATAGCGCAGCACGCCGCATGGAATTCACATTTATCAACATAGTCAGCTAAAGATTGCTTTCTCTTCTCTTTACAAATGATGGAAGATGCTCAAAGATGGAGCATGGAGCGCTTGGTGGCTACAGGGATAGCCGCAGGAGGCTGCCGCTTGTCCACGCGTGCGTGCGCGATATACTGTCAAAGCCGCGTATTCTAAGAACAAAAAAGGGGGAGGGTGGATGCCCAAAGTCACGAGACGTGCGTAACATATTTTCTTTGCCCCTGCCACCCCTCTCTGCTTAGCTTCCAGCGCTTTGGTCGGGACGATTGAAGAGAAAATGCAATTGCAGCATGTGACAAATCTTTGTAACTCCACTCGTACTGGATGGACTATTAAAATTTTTGTCGTATTGAAGTCATGAGGCAATAAGCGCTTTCAGTTAATCCATTCCATAGTTACTTGAAAAAGTGTTTCAGGGCCCCTTTAAGATGTGTAAAAAATAATTAGATTTTGGGTTTTGTGTGTCGAAACCATATAAAATTATGAGGAATGCTGTAGTTAGGGGTTCGGGTTAAGTTGTGACTTCTTGGTGTTGCTTCATGTGCACCTAAAGCTTAGGAATGCTTAGGAATTTTCGAATTTTGCCCCTTTTGAAATGCGACCTCTGTGGCTAGGAGTTCAGCTCATGCCCTCGTCATAAGCTGTGCAGTGACGAGGCAACTAATGCGTGTCTTCAAGAGCCTCTCACAGGGCCTCGGCCCAGATTTTTGTTTTGAGGTCATCAGATTGCAGGTTGCGGGATCAAATCTAGGCTGCGGCAGCTGCATTTTCGATGGATGCAAAAATGCTGTAGTCCCGTGCGCTCAGATTTGGGTGCATGTTAAAGAACCTCGGGTGGTCAAAATTTCTGGAGTCCTCCACTACGGTGTCTCTCATAATCATATGATGGTTTTTGGACGTTAAACCCTACATATCAATCAATCAATCACTGCTGAATAATCTTGCTTGTTTGCAATTCCGAAACCTAGCGGAGGGCCCTGTAAGCTATGTCAATCAAGCTGACGCTTGTAAATCTCCTATGTATCTCAGTCTTCATATGCCCGCTTTTGACCCATATTAGCATGCAACACTCTCGAGAACTACTCTTGCAACGTCAATTTGCCTTTCTAACTACTTTTTTATGTATGAAGTAAGACGGTCTATTCTTTCTTAGAAATTTATGGCATTAATTCATGGCGACTGACTCTAATTTCAGGGTGCCATCTGTGACTTCTGTGAAGCATGGGTTTGCCATGGCCGGCAGTGCCTGACCACACATGCCTGCACTTGTCCACTTCAAGATGCCACGTGTATTGAATGTGAGCGGTATGTGTGGGAGCATGGTAAGTGCGAAGAAATCCACTGAACTTACGTGTACGGCGATGCTATGTTTTCACTGGTATGCCAGACTCTTTTTGTACGGTTGCTCCACATTTCCAGGAGGCCGCATTTTCAAGTGCTCCTTCTGCGATAGCTTCCTTTGCGAGGATGATCAGTTTGAGCACCAAGCTAGTTGCCAAATCTTGGAAGCCGAGACACTCAAATGTGAGTTGCATTAAGTGACACTTTCTTTTGCCTTGTATGCTTTGACTGATGTACATTTGCGTAATGCTCTCTCACTATGACAGTATTTAATGCATTTTCAGGATTCAGTGTGAGGATTTTTATGATGAGATTTCGTCAAATTATGTTGGGTGCTCAAAAACATTCATCAAGGTTATCTTCACCTATGTGAAGTTTTCTCTTTGTTCCTGTTTTTGCAGCAAGTAGCAAAAAAAAAACCTCTCTTCTCATTTTTGAGTTCTCACAGCACGTGAATGTTTTTAATAATGTATTATGGCTATGATAAAAACATATTTCACTAATTTTTTATGGCTTAAAACGTTTGTTACCGCAACATATATTTTTGCAATAGGCATATATGTGTCAAAAAGTATTGATTTCAATATATTTATACTATCATGCTTGGGCAGTGTTCTGTAATTAGGTGATGTTCCTTTGTTTTGTCATTGGCCACTGTGCTATCATCATCACTGGTTATTCAGAGGTGTTGCCAGGTTCTTTTATAAGAGGTGTCTTATCTACCTTTGTGTGTGTATGTGCATGTATATTATGTATACACACACAAACTGTAGAAATTTCAGATGGTAAGGAAGCTTTGATACACCTCTCCCCCCATGCCCTTTTTATGTCATTGTGGTTCACTTCATCGGATGTTAGATAATATTTTAAAGGGGAAGTAAGTTGTTGCAATATTAAGCTCTGAAATTTCAGATTGCCAAAATTCTTGTGCCACTGTACTTTTTTTTTCGTTCTGTGTGTTCCTGTTTTAAAATTGGCTTGAGGGACTTCATAGTAAGAAAGGGCAATTCGGCTATAAATTGTGCTGTCGAGTTATGTGGCAATACTGCAATATGTGTAGCGTAAATTTCTTAGGCTTCGTTTTTGTCATGCTTTATTATTTTTCTTACTTTCAGGTGTCTCTTGCAATCGTCTTGGTCACCATTCTTGTTTACGATGCAAGGTGAGATATCTTACTTCTGTTTTTTATTGATGCAATGCCACATAATTTTTCCCAAAGTTTTTTGTTTTTGGTTTTAGAAAGTCATGCCTTAAATGTTACATCAGTTCGAATCGCTGGAATCTAATGTGTGATAGAATGGTTAATGCTGTCTGTGGGGTGATTTAGTGTCTGTTATGTCACTTCCACTCTATAGTGTGATGCAGACCTTTACACACTGCTTGCTGTACATAAAAACATAATGAAAACATAATGTGGTTGTAAATTGTGGCTAAGATTGGAGCCACCCTATTCTCTGCTCTAAAGCGTCCTGTTCTTCGCCAGTCCCAGAATTTGCTTGTCCCAGGCAATAAGATCTGCCTCAATTTTCCTTCAATGGTTGTGAAGAGATTGTTGCAAAAGCAGTGTGCCGGCACTTTTCCTGCTGCGAGTATCCCAGCAGACTGACGGTGCTTTCTGTTGCACAGAATAACTCGTTACTTGCTGCTCTTTCACATAAGCCGAAATGCAGGGGAAAAATGTGCAGGAATAACTCCGAGTGACGCCCTTTGTCCTATTGCCAGCTTAAACATGAATGACGCTGTGGAGTATCTCCAAAAGCACTTTCGCCTAGTGCGCTTTGTTTCAGAAGCCCCACCTTCTGCCATAGAAAGTTGTTTATGAATGTACACCTGTAGCGTAGCAAGTAATTCTTTTTTTTGGGGAGAAGAAAGTGGAGGGGGACATGTTTAATGATATGTTATGTGCATTTGTGCAAATGTTTATATGTGTGCATGTATATAAACATTTGCAAAATGAAAAATTTTCAGGGGTTAAATAGGTTAGAACCCCTGGCTATGGACTGATAATATACACACGTTTTCTCAATAGACCTTTCATCATGAAATCACCTCTCTGCTGGTCTAATAGTCGTTTGAATTATTCTTTCCTCTTCTTTCTCAGCACCTCTTTATACCTTCTCCAGCTATGCCCCGTGGGCCTGTTCTTCATCTGTTAGATGCTTTAGACATTATAACCATTGTAATTATCCAGATATGACAAGTCGCTCCTCCGACATCTTTTTCTCTTTGCATGCAGGCTTGCTACTGTGATGACCACGTGAGGCGCAAGGGATTCAAGTATGAACGAAACCAGCCCATGCCTTGCCCGAAATGTGGTTTTGAGACGCAACAAACAAAAGACCTCAGCATGTCAAGTAAGCATGTTAGGAAATTTTTGTCAACTCTGCCTTGCTTGTTTTGGATGCGAGGCAGAGTTGGTTTAACCATGGCCTGATCGCTCACCCATAGCAAGACCGTGGCTGAGTGATGAGTTACACACTTTCACATTATTTTAATGCGACAGCGTTAAAGAGCTCGTTTTGCAGAATTCTGCCATCGATGTCGGTGCCGTTAATTGTGAGCAAAAAATTGAGCATCCTTGCGTGACTGAAATACCGAGAAAGATGTAAATAAAATAAACAATAAAAAGGTCTGGGTCTGAGTGGGGATCGAACCCGGGTCGTTTCCGTGGCAAACGGATGTTCTACCGCACGGCCACACCTCTGGGCGCGAATTCAGCGAAAATAATTTCCTCTGCTCAGAAACGCGATCAAAGTAACTTTCATGCTTTACAAATGCACGTGACCTGTATACATTCTTCCTAATGCAACATGAATCATTGCCATAATAATGCATGGTACAAGCATACATTGCCATCAGGCGTCAGAACATGGGATTATTATGATGACTTCATAGTTTAAAGCCAGACACCCCACTACAAAAGGCACACACGCTACTGCACCCTTGAGGCCCTGTAATGGGTGCATAGCAAGTTCAAAAAGATTTCACATGCCAAGTGTTTCAAGTACGCTCTAGAAACAGAATATTGCTATCGCATTCAACTCTTAAAGGGGCCCTTAAACACTTTTTAGAGTAACCATGGAATGAATTCACTGGAAGAGCTTATTGCATCACGAATTCAACGCCGCAAGAATTTTCATAATCCGTTCAGTAAGAGCGGAGTTAAAAAAATTAGTCACACGCTGCAATCGCATTCTCTCTTCTTTTGTCCCAACGAAAGCGCTGGAAGCTAAGCAGGGAGAGATGGCAGGGCCACAGAGAAACGTCCCGCAAGTTCTGTGACCTTAAACAGATTTTTTTTTCTTCGAATGCGCAGCTTTTTCAGTGTGATCGCGTGCGCACACGTGGACAAGTAGCGGCCTCCCACGGTGATCTCTGTAACAAGCGAGCGCGCCATGTTCAAATCAGCCAATGGCTGATGGATGGGCTTGCTACGCGTGATTTTTGGGTATATTGCGGGATTTGTCGAGAGAAGAGAAAGCAATCTTAGCTGACTTTGATAATTTATTATGAATTCCATGCCGCGTGCTGCGCTATAATATTTGGCTTGCATGTTGTCGGGAGCCTCTACTACCGATCGGCAGTGTTTTCTGACCATGCTCAAAAAGTGTTGCAGGGCCCCTTTAAAGGCAAACCTCAAGGTCCCCAAATTTTTTCTTTCTGTGTGGTTTCACAACCACATGATCATCGTGACATGGTAATGTAATGTTTATTTCCATCATTTTATGTATGATAGCAGGATATGGAGTACAACTAAATTAATGACAGCGTCATGAAGAAATAGACCCTGCATAGGTGAAAAAGCAGTATATATGGCTTATGATAACCATCTCTAGCTCTAGCTCACCTCGACAACAGTGGAAGAATAAGAGATGTGTGTGAACTGTGCTGTGGAGAAGGTATGACACACATTTGCTGGAGTTGCTGGCTCACGACGAAAGATGTCATTAGTTGTTGCGGGCCTGTTTTGCAGATTGAGCACGTAGCCATTTGGTATGCAATTTGCAGGAATTTTGTTGTGCTTTGAAGTGTGCAATCGAGAGGAAATTGCTGCAATATGGGGTATAAATTGTGCACAATAAAGTTCTGGTTGTTAGGCACCAAAAAATGCCGATATTCTGGACAAGTGGAGGTAGGCAATGCTGAGGAAAGATTGAATACTTCAGTCGACAAATTTTTTTAGCGAAAGATATTTCATGCTCGGGTGTTCAAAGAATAGACAACATATTGCAATAAACATGCTGTGATGGACAATATTGTCAAAGGACACTGTGCTAAGTTTCCTGACTGCTAGACATACCCGTTAATGTTTGTTATTATAAAGCTGGAGAAAATTTTGGCGGAATCACAGAGGCCTTAATGTTTGTCGCAGTATGTTGCTTAAATATTGATCAGGGCTCCTTTAATTTTCACTCGGATGTATCTGCAGAACTCCTTCCTGCATTCTCTTTCCTGTTCTGTAAACAGCTCTATCAAGAGTCTGTACCATAAAAAGATATGCAATTTAGTGGGTTCTTTTTCATCTTTCTAACAAAATTGCATGAGTTTGATTTGAATGCTTTTCATATCACTAACATTACTGTGAATGCACTGTTTGGCAAGAATATAAAAACATCAGGGCTAAAGGTCACTGTTACGCATGCACAACTTAAATCACATCCCATTCTACTTGTAGAAACTGCCTGAGAATTATATGGTAAATTCAGTAAACGTGACACGAAACTGGCTAGTGAAAATGAGAACACAAGCCAGGTGATGATGTTCAACGCCCTTTTACAAGTAAAGAAGACGCAAACCAATGCATCGTAGGCTCACACAGAAGTGAATGTGGGTATCACAGTCTGCAAAAGTTTTTTACTGGATCTGTGGAGAATGTGTCCAGAACTAGGACATTCAATTTCGTTGATAAACACAAAAACTGAACTGAGATGACAATGATTGGACTAATAATAGCTCAAAAGAAACGCTGCTGCCTTAAAAGCACGTTTTGCTTCATTGTGCAACAGCACAATATCATGCTTGTAGTGGAGCATATCTTTAGCATGTGTCTCTTATACATATATGTGTGCTAATTCACAGGCATTGTCATGGGAGTTCATATAGGTCTATAGCGGCTTCTCATTTCATTATCACCGTTATTTTCTATACTACAAACCACGGACTGGAAGAGCCGCTCAGCAAAATATATTTTTGTGGCATCTATATGGCTTACATTCACTTCAGCTTTCACAGCATGAGTAGGTAATCCCCAAAACTTGAAAAAATAAAAAAAAAAATTGGTGGATGTGTAAAGATAAGCTCTGGTGCATGTTTTATCAAAATAAAGGGAGAATATAGAAAGATAAGCTCTGGGGCACGTTTTATCACTCATGACGGTTCAGCTACGCTTGTATGCATATGACTAGCCGACGTGACTTGAACGCACTGCTTGGAACTTGTCACACCATCTGTCAAAGAAAGTGCGCAACCGCCGTGAGTCCATAGAGTTTTGAGGCCCGTTCACACACATTTTTTATACTTGCCCTGTGACCTTGACTGTGGAATAGTGGAATCCACAACAGATAAACTGTTGTAGCAGCACATTCGATGGCTCGGTGCATGTGTTTTGTAGAATTATTATTTGTTACAAATCAAGGCCCAGCTGAGGCCTTTTGCCAAGTGCTTAAGGGGCCCGTGATTTGCTCTGCCTGCTTTTATATTCATGTGTTGAGCATGAAACATTACTGCATACTGAAATTGGTCATTTTCATCTACATGCATTTGAGTGCCAACATTGTTCAAGTGTGCTGACTATAACTTCTGTGATGTTTTATTGGCACTGCATTGGTTACCATACATGTGTTTTTCTCAACTCTCACTGATTAAACATTTGTAAAGATAGCCAAACTAAAGGGGGATCTTAGTTTAATATATTTGTTTTAAGATCAAACTGCTGAATAGTTAGGAGTGTATGAAGTAGGGTATGTCATATTACTATTAGGGTAGTTTGGAAATCAATGGTTAATATTTATCGATAAAGAAATATATTTAAAATATGATGCATCAATCATATGAGCTCTCAAAGCCTGCTCCAAAATGCTAGGATCTGAAGAGAACCGATTTTCGGTTGGAGATATTTCACAGTAGCACTTGAGTAACCAAACACACCCAGACAGCAAATACTGTTAGAGTGCTTGCCTGCTGAATCAAATGTACACTGTTTTCATTTTGTTTTCATTTTGGGCTCCCTTACCTTAGTTGGCTCTGTGCTAGGGGCTCTGGTTTTGTAGTGAAAGTTGCGAGCCCTAAATTAGAGCTGTGATCTAAGTGAATGTTTTGATATGCAAAATTTCAATGAAAGAAATTCGATATAGTTACTGACCTTGATGCACTTTGCTTTTGTCTTAGCTCGCCATCATAACTACGGAAGGCAGCAGATGCGTGATGATGACGATGACGATTATGGTTCCAGCAGTGGCTACGGAGGAGGTGGCTATGGATATTATGGTGCAGGTGAGTACTCCTGTTGATGCTTATGACTAATGCCGTTTGTCATGTATTACTGAAAGGATAGTAACACTTCAAAATCTTGTGATAAGTTGTTTCAGGACTATTATAAATTTTAGGGGCTATCATGAATCTTAATCATATTTCAGAGTGCATAATAAACTGTTTCAGTTTCACCTGCAGCACTAGGTCGCGGGTTCGATTCCCGGCTGCGGCGGCTGCATTTCCGATGGAGGCGGAAATGTTGTAGGCCCGTGTGCTCAGATTTGGGTGCACGTTAAAGAACCCCAGGTGGTCGAAATTGCCGGAGTCCTCGACTACGGTGTCTCTCATAATCAAATGGTGGTTTTGGGACGTTAAACCCCACAAATCAATCAATTCACCTGCAGCACATGCAATGTTACACGTGCACACATATGGTACATCTCACCCTTGGCTTTTGTCTGTCTCTGAATTTTTGTAATGCAGCTTATTGTGAGGCTTGGCTATCTCTATAGTTTGGTACCTCTGGGGTTAGTGCATGAAAAAAGTGATCTGATGTTTCTAAAAAAAAGGCAGCTTCATCAATCTTGGTATGGTAGTTCTGTACAATTCTTTTAAATGTGAATCTTGTTTGGTTGGTATAAAACATTAGTGGACAACATGGCAAGTGGATTCTAGGGAAATCTGTCGGATAAAGTGATGTTTATGAAACTAAAAAAAGAAGGAACTAAAACAAACTTTCTGTCATCCGAGAGTCTTGCCGAGAAATACGTATGCAGGCAACTAGTTGAGTGGGCATAATTCTTTAAAATATCTTCTACTGGTATGGTACCGTGTCACAATACGTCTTTAGGACTTGAACATGGGTGCAGTGGTATCCACACATATAAGCATATTAAATTCAAGGAGGCATGATGGCAGTCCCATTAAGGATTACAGTTCATGCATACGTGTAGCTGCAAAAAATATTCAATTATCAGTGCCAGCTGTATCGTTAGAAGAATTGTCACATTTATGTTTGGCATGTGACACAGTGTGTAATACCATAACAAGTGCATTCACGGGCTTGAACACATGCGTCATCTGCAGTCCTTTAATTGATCAGTGTCACTGCTATAATGCAGCCTTAGCTTATCTTTTAACTAATTTATACTTCTTGGAGCTGAGTGCAAGGTATCAATTAAATTTTAAATGGAGGCACTGATAGTTATGATGTTTATTTATTTATCCTTAGGATGACTTGTCTGATAATGTTTCTTTATGCACCAACAAATATATATAACTCAACAACAAAGAAACATCTGGCACGAAAGGCGCACTGAAGAGCAAAACTCTTCCGTTTGCTTTTTATGTTGATCACTGCTTTTCACTTGGCTTTTACTCATGGTAGGCATTATATGCTCCAGCACACATTTTTCAGTCACATGAGCAGTAGTATGTGGAAAGAATGGAAAGGCTACCATAATCTAGGGGAAAAGACTCAGGGGCATTAGTCACATACTAAAAAAACATGTGTGAGACTGTTAAAGTGCAACTAATGTTTTTGTGCATTATCCCAGAAACAATTATATATTTTTGTGACATTATTGAAGTTATGTGCTGAGTATCCTGCTTTTGCATACTGTGTCTTTGGATTGAGCTGTCACGATTTGAATCTACCCATCGGGTTCATATTTGCACCTGATTTTATGCAAACACATTGACCACAAATATGATGATCTCTCAGCACTATAAACATAGTCGTTCAATCATTAGGTATTGTGAACATGAGACTTTTTGCTTGGCTTTTGTTAGCCAAGTGGTGCTTAATCTTGAACGTATGTGTCAGAGCTAGTCAATCTGGCATGCAGGTGGTGGAGCAGGCGACATGGACGAAAATGAAGATGATGAAGAGGAGGAGGACGATGATGAAGAAGATGATGATGATGATGAAGATGATGACTCTAATGAAGAGAGTGAAGAAGAAAATGAAAAAGAGGATGAAAAGGAAGGTGAAAAGAAAGACACCACAGAGTCTAAGGAATAAAATTTTTCTTGCACAATGCAACAGGAATCCATCGGTCAAAACAGAGCTTAATAACACAAAGAGACATAGATATTATAGTAGTTAAACTTCTGAAGACCTAAATTAAGAACAGTTACTTTATGCACATAAACAGGATTTATGTTATACACAGTAATAGGATTTTGCAAATAAAGTGTTCATTCAGGGCTGCAGTTGTCTCGGAAAAGCATTATTTTACAACACCACAATTTTGTGTGTTAAGTTATATTGTTGACTGCTAACACCGTGTACAGTACTCACGAATTCAAACGAGACATGAAATTTTTAGTATGATGGCAGGTATGAGCAGTTGCTTGCGATAACCAAATCATGTGATAAATTGGGTCTAGAGATAGTGTTGGCCCTGATCTATGGGTTCAAGATAAAATTGCACCTATATCGTCACGTCCTCCAGGGGTCTAGAGGAGGTTTATTGAGGTCTGAGCAACAGGGCTCTTACCAAGCGCATCGGTTGGGGTTGCTCGCGAAAGCTGGGGAACACACGCACTTCTTTCTTTAGTGGTGTGAGCCTTCACCTTGGCATATGACCCAATACTAGAAGTAGGTGGCAATATGATCTCCACTGAAGGCGGTGAAAACGAAACTATGTGTGTTACTTAGCCCTGAATTGTCATTTCAATCCGCGAGTACTGTATAGTATTAATTGTGGATAAACAGCTGAATGTCTCACTAAACTGGATGCACTTGGTATCATTCATTATAAATGGCATGTGCAGAGCTCTAGCTTCACAGTAGAAGTAGCGCATACCTAATGCTAATGCAAAAAGTTCCAGCTTAACTGCATTGATGTGCAGTTATTCTACAACCAGGCAAACCAAATCATTGCCGATTTCATTCATTTCATGCTTAGAACATCTCAACTACAATGAAAAATGTGATTCAGGCTCTTGCATTTTTAGGTGGGTTATTGAAACTTTCGTGAGAAGTCAAAAGTGGGTGCTGGAAAGCTATATGGAGAGCTTTGTGAACAAAACTTTTTTTTTTCTGCCATCCCATTAAGTGGTGTGCCGTGCAGCTACATTAAACTTAATCACATCCAAAGAACTAGTTCAAATCATATTCTATCATGTCTCTACTCCTTCACTACATTTCCTAAATAGGATGCTCATTTGTGCATTTAGTCAATCTAAAAAAAAAGTTACATTTCAGTGTTCAACCATAATGTACACTTTTGAATAAATTGAGGTTTATCTACATTATTGTACAGATATTTAACTTTCCATGTAGACTGAGCAGTGTGTACAGTCTTGTCGAATATCTCCGAGTTAATTTATTAAACTGGTATATATTTACAAAGTTATTTGTAAAAGGTCAAGTCACTGTAGACAGCCTCATTGGCATATAGTACATAACTTGCATTTGTAAACTTGTTCACCTGCTTTTGGTCCCAAAAGAGATTCACAAAAATGTTTTTGTTGTGTTTGTAGCTTGGTGCAGTACATTATAAGCAGGGCACAATACACAGATTAGAGAAAATTCAATGCCTAGGCAGAAGAAAAAGACAGGAAATGGTTCCTCCTTGATGCATACATTATATACAGGACGAATCATTCTACAACTAGCAGGCATTATTGTAGTCATCACGCTTCTAAACAGGCTTGTTCATTGTTCAACATTTAAATAATCTTTCAGCATACCTTAAGTGATGCTGCTTAGTGAAACTTGCTGCTGTGTGTGTGTAATGTTCCGAGTGCATCACAAAGCAGAAGGTAAACTCGACAGACTTTGAAATTGTACACTATGCCACCTCACCTTCACCTGATTTCTTCATACTGAGTGTAGGTCATGGCACCATCTGGGTCACACAATACCTTTAGGCAAGTTTTCAAGCGTAGTTGCTTGCAGGCAGGCTCTTGTTCGTTAGCTCCGAGGCCTGAAAGTGTGCCTTGTTCGGAAAATGGGGATGTCAAGGTTGACACCCTTCAAGTTTGACTACCCCGCCTTCATTGGCATTTTGGGACGTCCTTACTCCTTCTTGTTGCTCGAAGCCTTTTGCAAGGTCTCCACGACGGACAGCGATGCCCTGCGCACTTCGAAGTTTTCCAGGTACTTGTTCGATATCGACGGCCAGTCGACTACGTTTGTCAGTTTGTTCATGCCCTGCATCATTTCCTCTGAAAATGAAAGATGACAGGGATTCCAGAATGCTGTTTCCGTATTGCGCAAGTTAGAGCACTGTTTCGTTAAAAAGATTGAGAAATGCTTTAGGCATCATAGAATCGGAAATTGTTTATGAATGACTTATTACTGTGAGGCTCATTGCAGTGCATGTACCATTACTTTCATTTAACGATTAAGACACTCTCGAGACCACCTAGCAAATGGAGCAGTGTTCTATCTAAAATCTTTTTACACTTGAGGCCACCATGACTGTCTACAGGACTAGTTCACACAGGAACTACCACACAAAACATGTAGTTTTGTCATAATAAGTGTCTTAATGTGTCCCTACATGCACCATAAAATGCTAACAAAGTCATCATGCCACACCAGTTGCGGTCACTACAATACATTTTCATCATACATGTGCTGCGGTGGCTTAGTTGGCTGTAATACTGTGCTGCTGAGCTTAAAGGTCGTGAGTTTGGTCTGGAGCACAGTGTTAGCTATGGGAACCAAGTGCAAAAGAAAGTTTCGCACAAAGGTCAAAGCATTGACAATGGTTGGAATATTTAGCATTGTGTGTGAACGCGCGATGCTCAATGACATGATGTTGTGTGTCGGGCAACTCCTGCTCCATAGAAGAAATGGCACAATGGCAGCTGCGAAACGTCTTCAGAACGTCGGTGTGATTGCAAGGGTCGTGTTACACATCTTGATAGTCTCAAGCCTTGATACTCAAGCATACGTCACAAAAAACCGACGGGAAACTGTGAGCATTGTGGAAATGTGCCAAGTGCCTTAACACACCAAAGAAGTTCTTTAGGAGACTGTTTCAGGAAACCAGGTGTGTCAAACGCACATTTTCGTACAATGGGATAATTGCTATCACAATGAGACACTCAATTCTGTGCTCGGATGCATGTGAGCCCTAGATAGTCAAAATACTCCATAGTCCCTTACTACTGTGTGCTTCACAATTTAATCATGGTTCTGGCATGTAAAATCTCAGAGCTCAAGCTTTAAAAATATTCTAATGCAGGATAGCAGGGACATCACCATGCACTTACTGCAACCATTGTTAAGTCCCGAAAAAGGCGCAACTCAATGGTTGTAATGAATGTATGTTTGTAAAAAAACAAATACTTGCTTACCAAGGGGCATGATTCTTCTGTTGCCCCGAGGACCTGTGGCTGAGTTGGTCCGACTTTGCGTCTGTCCAGAGCCCATGTCTTTCAGCATGGACAGGGTACTGCCGCCTTTGACTGCGTCATTGAGGAATAACGGCTCAGCAAGAATGAAACAATAAACTCCAATAATCAGCGCGCGTGTGTAACGAAAGCATAATCATAGAATTAATGTATAACTTGCCTATGTCGCACGATACCTCAATTTACTCGCACACAATGTACCCGTTCTTTCTTGCACTTGCAAATGATCGTTTGCGAAGGAAGTGTCAATATAAGTACAGCCTCTACTCTTGGAAGGTTGAGTTTAGTCAGAAACTATCACAATAACTTTACTCACAAACGTCGCCATAGCATCGCTGAAGAAAAGTTTCTAAAAGTGGACTTTTCCACACAAAAAGTCTTTGCGCAGAAAAGCCAGCTTTTGCGATCCCCAATTGCATTGTCAAAATGCCGGTTGCTAATATAGCACTGTCTGTCGTCGCTTGATCGCAATGGAATTGCAGGAAATAAGATTTCCGTACCTTTCTTGAGCGAGCACTTGTTCATTATGAGCTCCGGCACGAAGGTGAGGCAGTTGAGAGGCGCCGGCGCCGGAGATGCGCGCTTCATATTGCGGATGAGTTTGGCGCGGCCGAACTTCCACTCGGTGTCCGACTGCGCCTGGATTCGCTGGTAGGTATCCGACATCATAGCAATGAGCAGGTTGATGAGCACAACCACGGTCACCATCATGTACACGCCAAAGACCACCTTGACGATGATCTTCGCGAACGGCGGGCTCAGGTGTAGCGGCGGCATGTAGTCCGGCTCTACGAGCCCGAAGAGTGAGAAGAAAAGCATCTCGAACGTGTTGATCGGAGACTGGAACTCCTGGCCGAAGATGGGCAGCGTTATGTTGTCCCCGCGCGGCGGCACAAACACCGGCTGGTACACGGCGCACATGTTCAGCGAAAACCCCACCAGAAAGATGAGCAGAATGGCGAGGAACCGCATCAGGTCCTTGATCAGGTCCCTGATGATGACGGCCCACGGGCCGAACAGGTGGTGGAACGTCAGGAAGTTGAGGAACTCGAGGAAACCCAAGAGCAACGCGACGGCGAACAGCTGGTTGCGGATGTAGAGGCATATGAGCCGGTAGTACTCCTCGCGGAAGAACAACGCCACCAGGTGCACCGAGATGGCGATCGCGCTTATGAACAGCACGACCGTCTTGATATAGCCCAGTCCCTCGCGGTCCGACGGGTTGGTGATCTCGGTGATGAACATCCCCAGCAGCCAGAACAGGAGCAGCCACTCGTTCCAGTGGGGCACCAGGTGGGTGGACGTGTACAACGGCTGCCACGGGTTGATGATGGTTATGCTGAGGACGATCACGAAGAAGATGTGCGACACCAGGTAGGACATGAACTTGACTATGGGAATGTTCGAGAAGTGATTTCCGCACACGAGCGACGAAGCGACCCACAACACCGGACACAGGAGGAAGCCGAAGAAAAGCAGGACGATCTTCAACGTGGTCCAGTGGTGGCTGCCCATCCACAGCTCGGTGAGGTACTTCTGCGCCGCCGGGTGAGCCACGACCGTCTTGCGCTGCAGCTCGATGAGAACGTCTAAAAAAGGAGTGTTCCGTGCGTCCAGCGCTCGGAGCAGCGCGGCCGTGTTGTTGTTCGAGGCGGCGATGGAGAGAAGCTCGTTGGCCAGGTTGTCGCAGAAGCCGGCCATCTCCTCGAGTTCCATGGCGCGCTCTTTCTCCTTCAGCGACAGCAGCTCGTAGCTGCGCGCCATTTTGACGGCTGTGTCGATGGGCGCCTTCGAGGCGAGGATGAAGTCCACCATGGGCCGGTTCTGGTGAACTTTG